CTTATATTTTAAATGACTTGTTCTGTGCAGAGACGCTTGATTTTATGTTTATCTCTGAGACGTGGCAGCGTGAGAATGAAGTCTCACATCTTTTAGAGCTTTGTCCCGCAGACTGTTCGTTTCTCTGTGCACCTCGGATATCTCGACGAGGAGGTGGAACAGCTGTAATTTTTAAAAAAGACATTTTTATGCCAGATGATCTCTTCGAGCTGTTACAATTCTTTCGAGATGATCATGATAAAAATTGCAAGTGATCAGTCCATGGACAGTATCTTAATTTATCATCCACCTGGGTCTGCTGCATCTTTTCTGGCAGACTTGCAAGAAATTTTTTAACTTCCACTAATAAACTGGGAAAGGTCGTCATTGTTGGAGACTTCAACATTCATGCAGAAGACTCATCAAATAGTACCACTAAGGAGTTCCTGAGCATCATGGACTCTTTTAATTTTGTTCAGCATGTATCAGGCCCTACTCACACTGCTGGGCATACTCTGGACTTGGTCTTCACTTATGGCATTTCCCTTGACCACGTGAATTTAAATGACATTGGTTTTAGCAACCATAAGTCAGTCTCTTTTAATATATCTCTCAACTCAGTCTCTTCCCCAAGGTTTTATTAGGCACAGGCGCTTTATTGATGACTCTGTTATTTCTAAATTTTCTTCCCTTTTCAGCCTTTCAGTCGGTGGCACCAAGGCTGTGGAACAGTCTACCACCACAACTACGTTTGGCTGACTCTGTGTAAAAAGCAGTTAAAAACTTTATTATTTAAACAGGCCTTCTGTTAATCAACACTTTTGAATTTGCATTATTTATATTGTCTATTTTATTACTTGATGTTTTCTTTATTTTAACCTTTGTGCACAGCGCTTTGTGACTGCCTGTCTACGAAAAAAAGTTCATGTCATTTAGTAGCGATTTTAAATCTTGTCTTTGTCTGTTGAATATACTATTATACTGCTTAAATCCTTTTTAGTCTCCCATCTGTGCGCTGTAAACGGCCAGTCTGGTGCTGGGGGACGACACCTCCACTGCCTCGCAGAGCTATTTTAAGAACTGCTTGTGTTGCTTCTTCACTGTGAGAGTCAAGTCAGGGACTCCTTGGCTGATAAAAGCGGGCGTAGTCCGGCTTTCGTGTTGGTCTATGATCGTGATGACCTCTCTTCATTTGCGTTCGACTCTTCTGATTTAGGTCACGGTGGGAAATGTTTGGATTCTTTCCCAGCTGACACGCTCTGACTCGCCCTCTGTGCAATATGCTGCATGTAAGCAAACAAAGTCCAGTACAGTTTGCGTAATAGGGCCAGGGTGCCCGTGATGACTGGGACCTGCGTTCTCCTAGGAGCGAGCAGCAGAGTATGAAACAAGGTGGGTCGTGTGTTTACCTGCTCTGAGCTTTTGTGTGACTCGTGTGCTCGGCGACAAAGCCTCCTCGACCTTTGTGTCTTTTTCTGTTTCTCTCCCTCCGCTCGCTTTAGCTGCTCAGACTATTCTCCCCTTTGTCTCGGTTTGCTTGCACCCTACTCATCCAGGCAACTGTGCGCATCACAAGTCCACAGAGTGTGAGTGTGCGTGCACTCGTTAGTGAGTGAGGCCTCTGTGTATCTCGGTTGTTAGTGACAATCAATTGCGCCATCATCCCCCTCCCCCGCCCTGCACCCTGCGTTCATCTCCGATCTCTCTGTCTCACTCGATTTATCTTCCCGCCGTCGCCCTCCCCTTTCAGTCCCTTCGCTGACTCGCTTCTTCTTTTGATGTCCTCTCTGTTCTTCTCTCGCAACCATTTTTCACCCAGTGGGCTCACGTCACTCCTGCACGCCTGCTTTTATTTCTTTTCTTTTCTGTTTGTTTATCTAAAGGTAAAATGTCTTTGCGGAAATGAACTTTGCAGACTTTAGGCGAGGTCACGCCGGGCTGTCCTGAACACCCGCCAGTCACCTTGTTATTTAATTACAGGGATGCACTTAATAGGTTGGGATTAACTAGGAAACAACAACAACTTGGTACTGGCCCTAAAAACCCAGTGTTGACTAAAATTCCCACCTTTCCTTTAGCAGCCCACTTCTCATGTTCCCTTTCTGTGTCTAATAATGGATAGCAGAGAATTTCTGTGGAGTAGATGCACTTTGAATTGAAGCAGGATGTTGGTATTGGACAAGGATGTTTTTGTGTATAATATTGATTAGCAGACTCTACATTACAAAAACATTGCTTTATGTAGAAGTCGTCATTGAACACCTTTTACACGGGCCGCTGTGCCCTGTGCTGACATGCTTGTTGCCCTGTAGCCTGTTCAGCCTCTTATGTCATTATGTTACCTTGCTGCTTTTAACCTCCCTCCCTTTCTCTGAAGTCTCCATAGGGCTGGCTTGAGCTGATTAGAGAGGCCATGCTTGCATTGATTAATTGGATGAGTCTCGTCTCCATGCCAGTCTCCTCTCGTCTCACAGTAGTGGCTAAAACAAACACACGCAAGGCGTTTAATGGCAGTGGAGCTTTGATGACAGGAAGTACCCGAAACTGTGGGTGTGTCAGCAAACACAGTGTTGGTGTGAACCTGAATAGCACTCATCTTAACAGCAAACCTTACGTCTACAGAGGAGAACAGTACCTTAAAAGGTGTAGGTGCGTGCAAGCGTGCTATGTTTTGCATTGATTCAGTGTGCGATTTTTATTTTTTCATTTTTTTGTCTTTTGGCTGCACCTTGCTAAAACCTGACTCTGAGAAAACTTGGAAACGTTGCTCCCTGCTCACCTTGTCAGCCTCCATAATGCTTTAATTCGTCCTTCAGGCTCTGATGACAACAACAACCTCTCCCATCTCCATGACTCTGTCTCCCCACTTAATTTGTCTCCTCTCCATGCTCTCCTCTCACTCTCATCCACTTCCCCTCATCTTTTTCGTCCTCCCTGTTTTCTCTCTCCTCCTGTCTTTAAGTAAATTCTGCTTCAAAAGCTTGTCTCTGAAAGGTCGTCTGCTGCTTCTGCAGACCCCCTGTGGCCTTTCATCTTTCTTCTTTATGTTGCTCTTTTTTTCCCTGTATCTGTCATTTTCTTTTGTTGTTTTTATTCGATCTGCTCTGCCCCTAGCACTTACCATGGCAGAACCAACAGCACACACGCATATACTGAAAATGACACACACAAAACCTATTGTAGCTCAGCCAAGTGAATGGCTGGCTGGGAAAGTCAAACGCTCTGTTATTCCATCCCGGCAAATGCAATCTCTGGAGATACAGTGCCAACCAGAGAGCCCCTAAGGGGCACTGAGGCTTTCTCAGAAATGCAGACAATCACACAAGCTTACTGCTATGTTGTCCCTCTCCCATCCCTCCTTCTTCCATTACAGACCTTTTTTTTTTTTTTTTTTTTTTATATCAACCAGCTGAAAGCCCCAACACCAAAGAGGCTGCATGGTGTTGTGTGCACAAACAGCATGTTTGCACATATGTGTGCTCTGACTGTTTGATCATGCTAACCAAGGATGAGGAAGAATAAACAAGCACAATAACTCTATAACGACGCGAGGCCTCATTCAGTGAAATCATTGCATGATGAACGACTGCGGTTCCACTGTGTCGACTACACAAAAGACGCCTTGTTTCTGTGATCGCTTCAGCTGAACGGCCACTTTGTGGTGTCATTATGACCCGTATATTGTTTTGGATTGGTGAGGGAAAGTGGGGTTTTGTTTTTTTTTCTTGTCATGTGAATGTTTGTCTTTTTTAAGGTCAAATAAGGTCAACCCTTTATAGAATCTCTTATCTTTAAAACTGGTCTTAAAATGCTGCTGCCTTTGTTTGTATTGGCAACATTCAGGAAGTCATACTGGTATATGTGGATTCTAAATATCACGTTTTAGTTTGCATCCAAATATCATGTCATGTTTGAACTTTGCTTACCTGTAATGCTTTAATTTTATTGTACTGCAAACTTCAATGTTTAAAAAGAAATCTCATGAAAAGCCGCCCAGAGAGTGAGCTGGCTCGGGGGAGGTTTGAGCTCTTGGAGTGCTCCTTCTTTTGATCCGTTCTCATTTTCACCTCTTTTCAGTATTTAACCCGCTGCATTCTTTCCCCCTTTGGAGGGTGGAGTTAAACACAGCTGAAATGTTGATGGCCCTTCTTCTTGAGACTTGTGAGCTCTGAAGTAACCCATTAATCATGTTGCCATAGTGGGATGAGTGACTGGGTGCTTGTAAGACAGAGCGGGAGAGAGATAGAGGCTTGGCCTGAGAGCAACTCGGTCTTCCGGCTACAACCTTACATAATGAGAGCTAATGGGTTGGGGAACATAGACATACCTGTCCAGTCCACTCACATTAGGGTGAACAGAAAGCTGCAAGGCTGTTCTTTTCTGTCTCAAGTACTGTATGTACAAGGAGTGCATTTAGAGCTCGTGGGGGTCTCTGCAGTTGTCACATGAACTCGAGAACTCTTTCATCAACAGCACCTCGTGCAGGAATGTGTTCAGTCAGTTTAACTGGGTAGACACTTCTTTAGCTTTCCATTTATTAGTTGAGGGCAGTTAGCAACCAATAATTTCATGATGCATAGTAAAAATCTTGAAGTGTTTAGCCATTAATGTATTTTGTGCTGCTGGGTAACAAATTTAATAGTTTAATTTATACTTTTATCTACTTGGCTGTCATTCTCTATGGGTGTCAGTTTTCTACTGCTTATCGACTACTTCCAGTAGTTTTCCGCTCAGACCATTTTGTTCAGGCCTGCTCAATTCTGTAATTAAATTGCAATGTAATTTTTTTCCCCCCCATTGGTTGATCTCATCTTCCCACCTATCCCCTGGCTACTGCAGAAGTGGCCCTCAGGGTACTTATACGTCTGGTTTGAAATCGCTGATTAAATCGAATTGCCAATTTGTACTACAAACACTACAGCCTCCCTCCCCCCTGCACTGATGCACTATTGCTTCATTGTTTTTTATTAACCACGTGTTCCCACTGTCTCTGTGTTTTGTTTTGTTTTTCCCCCCCCCAGGCCGTGAGCCCTGTGCAGGGTGATGATGAGCAGTCAGGGCGGCAGCAGCAGGGGAAGTGGCCAGCATGCTGCCACTCCGCCCCCTCGTCACACCCCTGGACCCAAGCTGCAGGTCCAGCGTTCCCACTCTCGTGACACCATCACCATACACTTCTCTGCTCTGGGGAAAGAGGAAGACGATGAGGAAGAGGAGCTCTTTGGGATACCCGCTGGATCTGTTAAAGACAAGTCTGTCCTCGATGGTACAGGGGGGCTTCAAGGTCCAGCTTCAGCAGCTGATGACCGGTGCGTTGCTACAGGCTTGGAAGCAAAAGAGGAACTGCTGTTTGAATCTGCTGGTGCAGACACCCCCTCGGGACCTGCTGTTCTCCCAGTTTTATCTACCACCTTATCTGTGCAGCCCTCAGACCCTCAGCCACACACACACTCTCCTGCCTTGACTATTAATCCCACATCCACCCTCTCCTCCAATCCTCCTGCCAGCTCCTCCTGGCCGTCTGAACGGCTCCCGGTCAATCCCTCCCCCGCAAGCTCCAGCTCCTCTTCACCATGCAAGTCTGCAGCACTGTCATCCTCCAAGCCTTTTCTTAGTCTGGTTAGGTCTTTGTCCAATGACGTTGAGTCTCGAGAAACTGTCCCTTCACTTTCCACCGTAGCACCAACCCACGCACGTCATCGACACTTAATGAAGTCTTTTGTTAAGTCTCTGTCCACGGACGCTTCCAAGGCTGACCATTCGGAAGGGCCTCTTCAGCATCAGCAAATACAGCCATCCCATCGGCCTCCACCTCGCAACATGCAACTCTTCAAACAGTTCTCCCAACCCCGTTTATCCTCCAGTCCCGTCATTGTCACTCAAGCAGGTGGAGACTCTAAAACAGCCCCCTCCTCCCCCATCATGTCTCCAGATGGTAGGTCCTTCTTCAAAGTCCAAGAGGTGGAGGCCAAGATAGAGGATACCAAGCGGCGGCTATCGGAAGTGATGTCAGACCCTCTGCAGCTTTTTAGTAAGATAATGGGGGATGAGTCTGGTACGGGGTCTGCTGGAAGTGCTGCTTATCGTGCCAAATCGCTGTCCTCCAGCGCGTCGGAGCTCAGCGGAGTAACAGCGGTAAATGGACACGGAGAAGGTGGCAACAACTACAGCATAAAAGAGGAGGAAGGGGCAGAAGGAGAAGACGAGGAAGAAACCCCCACAGCTAAGGGCCCAGAGTCAGGTTTTTTCTCTTTCCCGTCACTCGCGCCAGCCCTCACCCAGGCCTCATCTTCTGCCCTCCACAAATCTCCCTCTCTCACTCTGGGCCGCTGTTCGATGTCAGCCCTGGTAGCTCGACAGGAAGACGAGGACTTCTGTGAGCTGTACAGCGAAGACTTTGAGTTATGTACTGACACAGAGACACCGGACGGTGATCGTTCTGGGTCCCGGCAACCCCATACTGGTAGCACTGGTTTGTGTAGTGAGCTCGATCCAGAGGACGAGAGAGCCGAAGAGGAGGCCGAGACCTTACCCGTGACTGGTCTCATTATTTTAACACAGTTGGTGTATTGGTATTTGGTGCTTCCTGTGCCACCCTGTGTGTGCTCAGTAGTGCACGGGATAATAGCGGGGTTCGCGTTGGCGTTGCTCGTGCTTTGGCTGTCATCCCCTCAGCCCTCCTCATCAGTGAGCAGAAAAAGGAGGCGAAGGATAGAGCAATGGAATGTGGCCCAGCTGGATATTAAGGAACCAGGGATATTCAAGGTAAAGGCAAAACATGTGACTTCAAAAGTAAACTTGTGATTAGTTTTCCCAAGTGTGGTGCCTATGTTCAGTTTGTCCTTACTCTGAAGAAGACTATATGTTTCTACTCTGTTATTTCAGTTGAATTGCCTTTGTTAACACAGTGCCCTTCGGGAACAAAAAGGTAGGAGTTTGGATGAGAATTCAATCTGTGCAGCCTGTTGGGGAATCACGAGGTTGTGTTGCACTTCTTCTCCAGTGATGGCTCCAGTTTTTCTTTAAGCGAAACATTTTAATGACAGCACCACCGTTTGCTCCTTATTCTCGAGTAACCTCAGAAAATCAGAAGAGAAATCTTTAGTAATTTGACAGAGTTATGCAAGCATGTGTATGTGTGTGTGCCTTAGTGGGTACTAAGCGATTGCACAGGATAGCCTGATGGCTAGAGGCCACAGCTGTTCCAAAAAGAGGAGCTCTGCAGAACATGATACAGGCAGATGAACGACAGCCCCTCGGGCACACAAGTGTGGGGAAGCGGTCCAACAAGCTTTGTCTTTTTCTTCATACTTGTCTTTCTTTGGGAATACACAAAGTCTCAGATGCCCCACTTTATCTTTTGCTGTGTTGCATAAATTTTAAGCAAGAATGTCTTTTTAAATCAATGGTATGTGATACATAGTGGAGATTCAATAAACTGCGTTTTTTGGCACTTTAATGATGGTTTCATTTTTTATCTCAGGAGGTTACTTAGTTAATTTGAGCAAATTAATTCTCTGGTTTTAAACTGAAAATCTGATGTGTGTATAAAAGACTGTGCAAAAGTCTTGAGAGGTGACTCGAGTTTTACTTCATTGTAGCTGAAAAGTCTTCTGCTTCTCTCTCGCAGGGCTGGATGAATGAGATCCACAGCTATGACCCGGAGACGTACCACGCCACCCTGACCCACTCCGTTTACGTCCGTCTAGAGGGCTCAGTCCTGCGTCTGTCCAAGCCCAACCGGAACATCTCCCGTCGTGCCACACACAATGAGCCTAAACCTGACGTCACTTACATCAGCCAGAAGATCTACGACCTGACTGACAGCAAGGTGCGGTGGCTTAAACAAACCTTTTGGTCATGGAAAGAGAGATTTTTGCTAACACCACTCAAAGACGAGGGGGAAATTAATGTGTTAAGTGTGTGTGCGCGTCTCCTCAGTGTATTACTGTGCTTGATGATAAGCTTAACATTTAGTGACATCGAGCACACGTCCCGTCACATTTGCCTTTGCCCGACTGCATGCTTGCTAATAGGTCATGCTCAGTGACAATCACAGCTTGTGACTCGTAGACTGTGTGTAAACGTAGAGTGAATATCACAGGTCACTGACCTTATATACACAGTTGTGTATCTTGTGTACTAGCGCACTGATTCAACAGTTTTGCATATCTCAAGGCACAGCTGACATTTCTCATGTCAGTGTATCACAGAGCAAAAGGTTTCATCATGTACCCTTAACCTACTCTTCTTCTCTGGTTTCCTAAAGTGCCCTTTCTCAGTTATTATTGTAGATACTTAGTGTGTAGTTTATTCAGACACTCGTACAGGAAAAGCATCCCTGAAGGTCCAATTTCTGCTCATGGTGTTATTGTTTTAATCTGAGATCCAATACCGCTCCAACCCATTACAACCACAGGGATGAATGAAGTGCTGCTGTATGTATTAGAGAATTGTTGGCCTATAGCAAGAACAAAAGCAGAAGTACATGAACCTTTCCAGCCCTGAATGGTGCCAAATCTTGGTTACTTATCAACAGAAAACAGGCATATTCTTACATTTATTGCCACCAGTTGTTTCCACTCATACCCTCAGGTATCAATCTGCCGCATAAAAATGTGAACACTTTTTCTCTTTATCTTCTTTTCTTTATAATCATTCTGTTGCCCTAGAAACACCAATAAAGAAATAAAGAAAGCACTCATGTTCATGAGATTGATTTAGTGAAGTCAGTCTTTATACCCCACAGATATACCTGATGCCTCAGAGCCTGGCTAGGAAGAGAGTTTGGAACAAGAAATACCCCATTTGCATTGAGCTGGCCAAGCAGGATGACTTCATGTCCAAGGCCCAGGGAGAGAGGCCTGAAGCTGGGGAAGAAAAATCGACAGTTCAGAGTGAGAAGGTGGAGAAAACGGACAAGGGTGAGAAGGCAGATGGATCGGCGTCAGCAGAGGAACCCAAAAAACCAACCTTTGGAGGCGGGGATTTGACTATCTACCTTTTCGGGAGGACGGGTCGGGAAAAGGAAGAGTGGTTCCGTAGATTTCTTCTAGCATCCCGAATGAAATCAGAGGGAAGAGGTGGCAGTCTGCCTAGCATCTGCAAGAATGGTGAGCTTCACACTCTCCCAGATCAAGGTGCAAACACACACACACGTAAAGCATTTGTTATCCATGTTCTTTCTTTCTTTCTTTTTTTTACACACCTGTATTTGCACAGACACGCGCCATTCCTCGATGTCAGAATAGCCGTTCTATTAAGTAGGCAACTGCGCAGCAATCAGATCTGTGCATAAGCCCCAGCTTAGGGACTGCCAATCCCCTCAACTAAGTGAACCGATGAGTGTGGTGGGTCAGCAGGATTACAAGCACAGAGCATCAGCGTATTATAGCATCACTTTCCACAGTGGGATGTAAGCCTGTGCGGAGGAGGCCTTATACAAAGAGAAATGCCAAAATTGTGTGGGTCAGGAGATAAAGGTAGGGCTGGATTACTGGAAAGCAGTGTACAGCATGCTAATTCAGAGTGCTGCAGTCTACTGTGAGAAAGGAATACAAAAATAGCTGACAGCTATCTAAGGCTAATTAAATTTTGAGCATTTATTATTATTGTATACAAATCTGGAATCACTAAAAATGTTCCGTGTTCTAGCATAATTGTGTCAAAACACCCCCTTCACATCCCACATTTCCTTCCTTCCATTTGTAGCCTTCTTACCCTCCCACAGTCGCAGTAGCAGCTTTCAATCTGTCGGAGGCCTGGAGGCTGACAGCAGGAGCAGCAGCCGGGGAAGCCTGGAGGAGCTGTCTCAGTCTCAGTCTCGTCACAGAGAGACCACCGCCGCTCTCTCCTGTGGCTCTACTGCAGGCTTGAAGCAGAAGATGCTGTTGGACTATAATGTCTACATGGCCAAATACGTGAGTCCCCAGGTGCCGCCTAGAAGCCCGACTGCCACTGACAGCGCTAGGAACAGCCCGGATAGCAGCCCCCAGACTACCAAAAAGGTAGGAGACAGATGGATGCATGTCAGGCTGAATAGAAAAAGATTGTCATCCAAAGTGGGCATCTATCAAAAGCCCCCCCTGGGGTCTGCACGTCTAAACCACAATATCAACTAAATCAGTCTGTTGTCACCTGAAGTTACCCCAGAGAGCTCCGAACCACTGGCAACTCAGTGAATCTTACTGAAGGGTTGCTGGGAGCAAACTCAATATATCAAGCTCAAGCTTGATGCAGAAAATGATTATAGATATTCAAAACTGCCATTCATACATGTATGTGTGTCCTTTAGCTGCGTAGGAGTTCAGAGGAGACTGCGGAGCCTGAGGCCTGGGTAAATGCATTTCTGGGAAGGATATTCTGGGACTTCCTGGGAGAGAAATATTGGGCCAATGTAGTCTCCAAAAAGATCCAAATGAAGCTCAGTAAGATCAGGGTGAGTAGTAGTAGTAGCAGTAGCTACAGTTAGTAATATCCAAATGCAAGAAGATTTCCTCAAGAGATAGAGATTTGTCTTTGCGTTGGCTGTATTTGTATCTTTTTCCGTACATGTTGTCTTTTAGCTGCCATATGTTATGAATGAGCTGACTCTGACAGAGCTAGACATGGGCTTCTCCATTCCTAAGATCCTCCGTGCCTCCAAACCTTCAGTGGACCACCAAGGTAGGAAGAAAATTACATTAGGTGTGTTATTTTTTTTACATTTTTGTGGGTGCTTTCAAGATTTCTTATTTTTATCTTACTTGAGCCACTTATTAATTCTGTCTTTTCCCCAACCCGTCTTCTTCACCTTTCATACCATATCTCCATCTTATTCCTCTTCTCGCTAGATTAAGCCATAACCCCCTACCCTCCAACACTCTGTCCTTCTCTCCTCTGGAGTCTAGCCTTTCTGCATGTTTGCTCTATTAAGCCACAGTAATTAAACCTCATGTCTTGGCTCCCCCTCATCCATTACTGAAACACTGACTCACCCAGCCTGCTTTAAGCCTGAGCAAAGGGACTAGTTTGACACAGAAACAGAGCAGAGATTATCGGTATTAATTCCAGCTGGTTTAAGGCAAAAAAAGAGATTGTTAAAAGCTTCAGTCATTTGGGGTGGGGTTTTTTTTTTGTTTTTTTTTTAAAATTTGTCATTTCTTAAAATATGATGATTATACACTTGCTAGCCATTTTGTTAGGTATTGTTCAACTGGTCGAATGCGTCATTAGCCAATGACATGGCAGCAACTTAGTACATTTAAGCATGTAGACATGGTCAAGATGACCTGCTGAAGCTAAGGCTATAATTGACATGAGCTCACCGAAATTGGACAACAGAAGAAAAATGTCGAATGCTGAAGACTTCACTGGATTCAAATGGCCTCCACAGTCACCAGAGCTCAAGATCTCTGGAGCACCTTTGAAACCAAAATCTGTGAGAAATGTTTCCAGCACCTTTTCGAATCTGTCTCATGAAGAATTAAGACCCTTCTGAAGGCAAAAGGGGGTCCAACTAGTAAGGTGTACCTCATAAAGTGTCCAGTGAATGTAAATGTCATGAGGAGCCGCCGTGTTAAAATTTTTGTTTATCAATTCCAGATTAAGAACATTCAGTTTTTCTTGATCTTAGGTCTAAAGATTCTTGTTGTTCAGTTGTTGGAGCAGGGTGTCTGCAGAGCTCACAAATGTGTCTGAACCTATACATCCTCAGATATATACTAACAAAGCATCATTAGCCGATGATGAAATGTGCGCTTTCATCCTGCATGAACTGAACACGCTTGTGATTTCTTCTCTTGTGTGATGATGGTAAAATTGAGGGAAAGGCAGCTTCTCAATGCCTTATTTATGGGGAGACATGGCTTGATTGACAATGTTTACACTGCTTCGATAACCGCACAATACACACAAACTGATGTTTGTCAGTTGTGCAAAGATGTGAAAATGAGCTAGAGGCTTATAAGAAACAAGTGGGTATAACATTCTTGACGTTAGTGTATGCACAGAACCATTTTAACCATCTTAGCATGCAGACATTTCATAATTAGCTTAGAGGAGAGTCGGGCTGAAGCGTCACTTTTGCAATTGCTTGGTCATGCACATGCTGCACAAATGGAAATTATTAATGTGGAGGCAAATTCACCACACTATATGACAATGAGAGCGATTTAAAGGAATATCTAATGCACGATTGCTGTGATATGTTTCCCGGTTCTACATCTGTCTGTGGTAGAGATGTGTTGGCTCCTTCAAATTTAATGAGAAAATCCAGACGGTCTCTTCCTGCTGTTTGTCTCGTGCTAGACAATGAGACACTGTCTTCCATGATGTGTCTTGCTGCTGTCATGTAGCTTCTCTCTGGCACTGCTGTCACACAGACTGTACGAATCAATGAGCATTTACAGGGAGAGGGAAAGTGAAGAGAAGGGAGGGGGGCAGACAGAGGGGATAATAAACGTCAGTTACCGGCTGCAGACGTTCGCTGTGCAAACAGCAGGGGGATCGTAATCTGAATAATTCTCCTGCCGCCCGCTGAGGAGTGGTACGTGTAAACAGGAAGTAGCTTAATAAAGAACTGCTTCCTGATAGGTGACCTTTTTTTAGGTAGATGAGCACTACAGTTAACCTTGCAACAATTAAACACAAATCATTAGGTTGTTATTGATTTTCCTTATGCTATTGACGAGGATGTCAGCAGGCATGGGTTTGGTATAAAAAACATCATAAGTCTTTGTTTTCTTTCTCAGGTTTGTGGTTTGATCTGGAGGTCTCCTACACGGGCTCTTTCCTCATGACGCTGGAGACCAAGATGAACTTGGCCCGTTTGGGAAAGGAGGGCGAGGGCCTTGGAGAACATGGGAAAGATTGGTGAGGCTTTAAAAGTGCATTTCTTCTTTTATGCAGAATAATGAAGCTGAGTGAAGCTCGGTCTGATTTTATTTTGTTTTTAAGAAGGCTTCCAGATTTTAGAGTCGTCCTCCACAGCTTGTCCTGATTCCTCCGTGTTTGTTTTTCTTCTTATTGTCTCATTTTCAGTGACAGTGCCAAAATAAAATGTGTGAAGGATTCGATTTTCTGCTAAAGAAAACCTGCTCTGAGTCGGATGGTAATCGGGTGCATTTGCATTTTTAGAGCCATATTAGTTGTCACATGCGTTTTTCACAGTTCCTCCCCTTTTGTCGTGTTGCCTTTTCCCTCCTTCTCTTTATATACTAATCCTTCCCGTGGATGCTTACCGCTGTGGACATGTGTACAGTAAACTGGCGAGTTTGGGAATTGGATGCCTACAGTCGCTGTCCCTGAAACAATACATTTTGTTACCCATTTGGGTTATTGGATCTTTTTTTGAGTGAGATCGGTGGAGAAGTAGTTCCTGGGATACATTTAATGGGAATTAATAGTGATTGATAAGGGCTCTTTGCAAAGCCACTGGGGCCTGACTTTGCAACATGAGTGCTTGTTTATGTGTGCGTGACAGGTCAAGGCCACGGACATACTGTCTGGCAGACAGTGACGAGGAATCGTCTAGTGCCGGTTCATCGGACGAGGAGGATCCTCCAGAACTCCTCAGTGACAAACCTGTTCTGCCTGGAGCAGAGGGGTGAGCAAATGTCTCTTTCTAACAACATTAGTGCACCTCCGAATTGAAAATGAGCAGAATAACATTCGTACTGAGGTTCTGAAACAGAACATTTTTCCTTTTTCTATCCAACCAGCCACCCACTCAGACATACATATTTGAAAGCTCGCTGATGATTTAATGTAGCACCCGGTCACTTGCACACACAGCCCCTCGATAGTGGGTGCTGAGTAGCAAGAGATGCCGTTATGAATTAATTATGAACCTGACTCACTCCTTGTCTCCCCTCCTCCTCTGTTTCCATCATCGACTCGCGTAGTTATGTGGGAGGCCACAGACCCAGCAAGATCATGCGCTTTGTGGACAAGATAGCCAAGTCGAAGTACTTCCAGAAAGCCACAGAGACGGAGTTCATCAAGAAGAAGATGGAGGAAGTATCCAACACGCCCTTGTTGCTCACTGTAGAGGTGCAAGAGTGCCGCGGGACTCTGGCTGTCAACATCCCACCTCCCCCCACAGACAGGATATGGTATGTTTAGGAGGATGTGGAAAATTGCAGGATGGAGTTGGTATGTCACAATCTATGTGAATGGCTTGAGATTATAGCACTGCACCCTCTGCTGGGCAAAAAAAAACAACACAAGCAAGTGATGAGAGAATAAAAATGTTTAATCACATCTAAGAAATGAGGGCACAAAGGTGTGTTTTCCATTAAAGATGTGGAACATTGAAGCCTTAAATACACACTGATTTATGTTTGGCTTAATTAATAAGAACTTCTTTATTTGCGCCACTAAATAGGTGCTACGAAAAATATAATTAAAACAACATATAGAAAAGTCTGTTTCTGTTGCATGCTATATATGTTTTGCATGTTTTCCTCCATGTTTTTACCTTTTTCCTCCTTAAATACTGCTAATATGTATTTTTTTTTTTTTTAATTGAAATGAAGCAGTCATTTAAGGAAAAACCCATCAATCGACATCTGTTTCATGAAGCTGGTCTGAAAATTCAACACGATTATCACAAACTTCTCTTTTTGGCTGTCAGGTATGGTTTTCGGAGTCCGCCTCACCTGGAGCTCAAAGCACGGCCCAAACTCGGTGAAAGGGAGGTGACGCTGGTGCATGTAACAGAGTGGATTGAGAAGAAACTGGATCAGGAGTTCCAGGTATACACTGGGAGAAACAAGCACCGGTGAAATCTAATCTTAAGTCATAATAAAGTCTACTTATTGTCCATTTGCAAGTTCAATTGTTAAAAACGAGGAATTGCATGGTTTTAAATTTACACTCGCTGGTCACTTCATTTACTAAACCTGCTGAACTGTTCATTATTGCAGATATCTAATCAGCCAATCACATGGCAAAACGCAAATACATTAAGACATGTAGGCATGGTTAAGACAACTTGATGAAGTTCAAACTGAGCATCAGAATGGGGAAGGAAGGTGACGTAAGTGACTTTGAATGTGGTATAGTAGTTGATGCCAGACGGGCTGGTCTGAATATTTCAGAAACTGCTGATCTACTGGGATTTCCCCACACAGCCGTCTCTATGGTTTACAGAGAATGGTCAGTGAGCAGCAGTTGTGTGGATGAAAATGCCTTGCCAATGTAAAAGGTCAGAAGAGAATGGCTAGACTGTTTTAAGGGCAAGAGTACCTCAAATAAGCACTCATTGCACCCAAGATATGCAGAAAGGCATCTCTACATACAGATGGACTACAGCAGCAGAAGACCACCCTGGGTGCCAGTGTGGTCAGATAAGAACAGCAAACTGAGGCTACAATTTGAAAGATTTGACAACAGAAGATTGGAAAATGTTACCTGGTCTGACGATTCTTGATATCTGTTGCAATGATCATTAGAATCAGAATTTGACATGGATCTGTCTTGTGTTGTATTAATGATTCAGGTTTGTGGACTTTGGGCTAGTTCTGGTTCTAGTTGCTGACCACATCCACCCCTTTGTTACCACAGTGGACCCATCTTCTGATGGCTGTTTCCACCATGTTAACGCACCATGCCACAAAGCTCAAATCATCTTAAAACTGTGTTCTTGAACACACAGTGACCATGTTCAAATGGCCTCCAGAGTCACCAGATCTCAGTTTAATAGGGAACCTTTTGGAAATGTTGGAATGGGAGATTCTCATCATTGATGTGCAGACGATAAATCTGAAGCAACTGTGTGATGCTGTGATGTCCATATGGACCAAAGTCTCTGAGGAATGTTTCCAGCACCTTATTGATTCTGTGCCATGAATTAAGTTAGCTCTGAAGGTAAAAACCGGGTCCAACTTAGTACTAGCACGGTGTAATGAAGTGGCTGGTGAGTGTTCAGTTTGAATTTGACACTCTGTTTGGAACTGAACAAGGGATTTTAAGTATTTAGCACATCCGAATACACCTTAAACCAGTGGTGTCCAAACCCAGGCCTCGAGGCTCGGTTTCCTGCAGGTTTTAGATGTGTCCTTGATCCATCACAGCTGATTTGAATGGATAAATGACCTCCTCAACATGTCTTGAGGTTCTCCAGAGGCCTGGTAATGAACTAATCATTTGATTCAAGTGTGTAGACCCAGGGTGAGATCTAAAACTTGCAGGACACCGGCCCTCGAGGCCTGGAGTTGGCCTTAAACCAATGTTCTTTATGTAAAATACCTTTGGCCTATTTAGAATTACCACCCATGTGTGCATAGGAGGAACATGTAGATCCAAACAGAAAGTTTTAACCAGTAGGTTTAAATCCAATATGTTGTTAATACATTGTGCTATTTTCAATTGAATATAGTTAAAAAAAACCTCCAAATCACTGGAATCTGTTTTTACGTTTAACACAGCACCCTAACCTTTTTTGTAAACATGGGTGCATTTAGTGCATGATGTCATATCCTGTGGTATTTATCAACTGATGTTTGAAAGTCTACCATTGGCATGGCCGAGAAGCTCAAAGTTTACTCACCAAGGACAAAGAGCACCTCTGCAAACTACCGCAGCAAATTGTCCCTGTCAGGTTTACCACACATCAACATTTATCTCTGCCTCCTCCTCAGGGGCTGTAATTACGTTTTGGCCCCCTCCACAATGCTTCTAGTAAAATATAGCGCTGCGGTGCACACTGTTGTCATTTGTGAGCAAGTGTTTACATCTGGCTTTCAACAAACGCTGGACTCAGGCTTTATTGGGTTTCAGACATAACAATACAGGGTTGCTTTGTTGCTTTCTTGTTAAAAGAGATAGTTTGAAACTTTATTTTTGTTTTCATTTTGTATGTTTTTGATGACAAAACTAGAATTTATAGGTTCTGTTCCTCTAATAGTCTCTCACAGTGGTTTTCGAGTAAACATGCTTCACTGTCCTCCACCATATTTATTGCTAATCCTTGTTTTTGTTTTTTTTCATCATTTCACAGAAAATATTTGTGATGCCAAACATGGATGATGTGTGGCTACCCATAATGCACTCTGCCATGGATACGCGTTCAAATGCCAACTTGTTTACTGTGACAAATGATGCCTTGAAGGATCCAGAACCCGAATCTGATGTCTCTGACATGTGAAGGCACGCTGCTCGAGGTGTTCAATGACAAGCTTTTTATCGCCATGTCCCCGCCCCGTCTCAGAGATCACAGCTCCAGCAGTGGGCTCGGTCGGCTCCCTGGTATTTTTACCAGTACTCCAGTCCTGCTGTCGCACCGCTCCATGAAGGCTGTGCTTCAAAACGATCTGAAATCTACTCATATCTGGCTATTAAAAGCAAACAGAAGAGAACAGTGACTCACAGACTGCCGATCATTCACACAGTTTTAGTGTGACATCAAATATTATGATTCACTCTGATGAAATTACTTTTTTGAGGGACATGGTTAAAGTGTGTGTGTGTGTGTGTGTGTGTGTGTGTGTGTGTGTGTGTGTGTGTGTGTGTGTGTGTGTGTGTGTGTGTGTGTGTGTGTGTCATGGTGGATTGACAAATAGCCATCCGATCCAACCAGAGGAACCATAATACCTGTGATGTACAGCTGCCCCAAACGTGATAGTTGTACAGTGTAAACCTTTTATGTGACGTTTCTAATTGACTGGTTTATTGTTACTATAACTCTTTAAGAACTCCTGGGGCCACTAAACGAAGATTGTGTATATCTGAGCGAGCAAACACCTGACAGAATATTCCTTTAAATTCGCAGGCGATTTCGCCGAAAACCCCAGCATCTGTGATTACATGTTTCACAGGGATGTCGAGACACATTTATCAACCACTCACACTGCTGCCTGTGCCGGCTGCCTGGCACCTATATGCAAACCAATCAACGGCTCTGCGTCTATAAGACACCGGGCCTGTTTAGAATAAAGGACTGTCATTATGCTTTTTACCTGTGTCATAGGACTTACAGAGGAGTCGTGTGAATTGAAGTACATCTGCAAACGCAGCAGCAAAACATTGCCTAGGTCTATTGAATGTATACATAGGAATGCAGCTCTTTAGCTGTGCAATGGAATAGCTCATTCACTGAAAACGTGCTTCTAAGCAACATGTTTCAAGCGCTCTTTTCGTGTTATGTTCAGAGTCGACAAAAAGTAATAATTTTCTATTTTTTATTGCCAAAGCAATCTTTCAGTGTGGTTTAAAGAAAGAAACCAGAGGGTTGTGTATGAGGTAAACAGAAATTCAGAAGACGGAGAAAAATAATCTGCAGGGAGTGATTTTAATGAGCAGGAGACTGAAACACTTTTAGTTTAAATGGAAACACATAAACTCAGAAATGTGTAGTTTAAAGAGCTGGGACATCCACTCTTGCTGTTTTATTTTAAATCAATAACATACTGGATATTAGCCATATTATTTAATGCTCTCAGCAGACATCCAGCTAATGAATGCTCCGTTTCTGTTGAATTATTTATTGATTTCCTTTTTTTAAATGCTGTCTACTGTTGTACACATTAAAGAAAAACATGACATACACTAGAACTACAGGATCTTTGTAATCTGCCAAGACGCCCTGCTTTACAGGTGACTTTTACTTTATATGTCCAGACATGTGTGTTGACAAGTGTATGAGGCAGAAAGTGCCTTTAAAGTAAATTAAACATTCCTCCATAGTGAGCCGCCGTGTTTCTTGCATCAGTTGAGAATAGGAAAAGGGGAAAAAAAAGTCTTTGTGCCATTACTGTGTCTGTTAAGACATGCCCATTTTGGTTTTTCATGTCTCGGTGTTGTTTATTTGCACAAGTGATGACAATATCAAACATTGCTGTTGTGTTCAGTGATGTTGCAGAATGTTACGTTTCTGATCATTGTGGATCAATAAAATCTTTTTGCTCGGAAAGAATACGTATGGATTTGATGTTCTGACAGAAGAGATGAGGAATGAGAAGCCGGAGCCAGATTCTCATCAGAAGACATGCATTTATATGCTGTTTCGCTTCATAAGGTACGCCTGTTCAATCACAAGGCGCCAACTCAGTGAGTTGAGGCGTATCAAGATGAGATACACCAGAATGGAGAAGAAAGGTGTTTTAACTGACTTTGCATGGTTGTTGATGCCAGATGGGCTGGTATCTACTGGGATTTTCCTGCACAATCATCTATTAATGTAACAGGGAATGTTCCAAAGGAGAAACTATTCAGTGAAAAACGCTTTACTGATGTGAGAGGAGGGCGGGAAGAATGCTTTGAGCTGATTGGAAGGCAACAATACTCAAATAACCACTTGTTATGACTAAAGTATGCAGAAGAGCACCCTCTAATTACACACCAAACAAACCTTGAAGCAGATGGGCTACTGCAGCAGAAGACCACACAGGGTGCCACTCATGTTAGCTAAGCACAATCCACAGGCTACAACCCACAAAATTAGACAATGCAAGGTCTCTGTGTTCCCACTCGTGACCTGGAAACTGATAGTTTGATCTGCTGAGAGTTGTCTCAACTCCCGAAACAAATCTGTGGGTAGAGACGTTGCACAGGTGTCATTTGTGGAAGTGTTTATACACGTGAAGTAGTGGTGGCACATCACTGGATGATGTGAAGCCTGCTGAGAGTTGGACTTTAAGATATTCAACAAATGAACTTTATCATTTCCAATTATAAATATAGTGGCTATAACAGCCACTTATGAGATGATGCCGCTGTCCCATGTCATAAGTGGCATCTTATTTTTGTTAACCAGTTTTTCCTAGCCCCATCTGCTCTCATCTGGGGGAAGAGGAACCAAGGACGTGAAGTATGAAAGACAACACTTCACAATCTAAAAATAGTATGTGTGTGGATGTACATTCACTTGACAAAAATATTCAGTATTTAACCGGCTGCATTTCTTCTTTTTAAACATCTGACTTGTGGTGTCAAATTAAGTGTTAATGCTAACAGATGTGCTGACACCACAGACGGATGTTAAACTCCGTCACGTGGGCAGCTTCCACACTTTGAGAACACTATACCTGAACTTCATCTCGAGTCTGTGTCTTGCTTTAAAAGAGAGACTTGGTGAAATAAAAGCCAAGAAACCCCAGTTATGACAAGACATGACTTGATCTTGCACTGCTCTCCACCTTTGAGTGGCCACGGAAGAGGCCAGCCAGGTTCAGAGGAGTGCCCAGAAATAAGTTAAAATAACAAAAACGACGCTGTTGGTTTGTGGAAAAATGCTTTATTCTTTTTAAAGAGTCAAGATTCAAAGTGTTTATTGTCATGCGTCACAAGAGAAAAGGCATTTCTCTGTGCAATGAAATTCTTTCTTTGCTGTCCACCCGCAGATGTCGATTAATATATACAATAAAAATAGAACAAATACAAATAGAACAAATAAAATAAAAACAAAGATGGAAAAAAAACCCCCCAAAAAAACATGTTTATCTGAGACACTGCAACTTCAAGCCTGGGTCCACTTCTTGAGCATCACAGGCTGGTCCCTGAAGAAGAAAACAAATAAGCTCAGTTGTTAACAAGCTGTTTATAAAGATCTTTGAGGGGGGCAGATCAATAATGTCTTCAAATTTATCAGAAGACTTATCAGTTACAATCATTTTGGATTACACTCAAATTACTTACTGTGTCATTATCCTGAACATCCATTCACACTGAAGGCCCCTGTGCAGAAAATGATAAAAAAAAAGAAGCTTAAGTGCATGTGATTGATTGATTACAAATCCTGACCTGTGTTAGTGACTCAACTCAGATTTCAATTCTGACTTCATTTTCAGATCAGAAGTCTAACGCACGAAAACTCATCATCCATGAACCAAAGGGAAAACACATTTTCTGTACTTCATATTTCTGACTTCATACCTCGCTGCTGGCCGTCCTCCACGAGACTGTATGACACCACACTGTCCACGTGGTGAAGTGCAGAAAACATCCACTAGAGCAATCACCATCCTATTTCACAAAGAGACCAAAATACCTGGTTACAGATGGGAGCTCAAGCGGGTTGTATTTTTATTTAGTTTTTTTTTATTTTAAATAAGTTCTTACCTTCGTTTTCTTTGCTCATGCGGCCTAGTCAAGTCCCGCTGCTCAAACGCGCAGTCATTGCTTTCAGTGCTCTAACTTTACACCTCCCCATCATATATGCACTGGCAGTCAGCTGCAATAATAATAACTACAACATAAAATTTCATAGCCAAATTAAACACGACCATGCCGCAGTTCGCTTGCCCAACGCTGAAAAGCATGCTTCCCACACTCTTCGCAGACCGCTGTAGAAAATGTCCCCCGGATCTATTTTATACCACATCCGGTGTCCGTATCGCTTTTCTCATTGGCTCACAGACTCTCGACATTTCCCCTCCTCCACTCGTGTGGATATCTATCCCAAAGTCCAACCCCCACGGTTTTCATTTCAGGAAGAAGCACATTTAACGTCGCATCCAGTGCGGCTGGCTCGATGCCTTTAACGTATCAACATTTACAAAACTATTTATAACACCTGTCTGCGAACCAGAAAGCGGTTTCTATGTAGTCTGCGGCCGCTCGGACCTCCCCAGCTGTCTATCCCGGTTTGAGACCAGAGAATATGGACTGGACAGTGAGCAGTCGGGCCCTGGTGTGGTGCATTTTAGCCCTGCTTTGCTACGCTGGTCTCCCACAAAAGGTAAGAGAGCTAGCTGGTTAAGCTAGCTAAACTTGGAGGACACTAACAGCAAAATTACAGTTATAAACAAAACGTGGACAGATATTTTTCACTACACGGGTGTCACCGCAGGGAGCTAAAGTTGTGTCATTGAAGCCTCTGTTTGTGTGCTTCGTGTTGCCCCAACATTACAGAAGTGAGCTAACACAGATGTTAGCTACCTGGCTGAAAAGCTCTAAAATTGAACTTTACTGGCACTAATTTTACATTTTCAGCGCTTCAGACCCGCTTCGCAAGCGAAAGAAGCAAACATGTTTACATTAACATTTTTGTTAAACATCTGAGTTATTGCGGAAAACGAGAAATTTTGTATTTACATGTTTAGACGTCTTCGTTTGCTTGTTTCAAAAACAGGATTTTTAAGTGTTTTTGTGGCTTGGTGATAAGTTAATACGCAGTATCTTTTACAAGCATCAGCACACATCCTGTCCCTTCACATCCACATCAGTAGCATCAGTAATCGCTGTAGGATATTTAAGCTGCAGAGGTGACAAACCAGACACCACAATGTGATGGCTTGAATAAACATTCTCCAAACGCTGGAGACATTGATGAGATATTACAATTGCAAGCTCAGTTCAAGGTAATGAGAGGTGGCTACAGAAAATGTGTTCCCTCTGTTGTTGGTTTTCTTAAGCTCGAAGGATAACATTGTGCATAAATTAAGCCATCATGCAGAAACACCTGCACTCAGTAACTGCACGCAAGAGATGGATTATGTATGAATTAGTACGTGTGCTAGTGATGTATTGGTATCAAATAACTTCTTCTTCTTTGCAAAAGAAATGGTTCTCACAAAAGCTTTGAAAAGCTGTAATTGGATCTGGGCGTTCTTTTAGTTCTGACCAAAACCCCTATGGCGACCCTCCCTATTATCCACAAACACCAATCCCATCCTCACCTATCCTGTATTGCTAACATCCTGTAAATGAGCCAGATCTCACAGTAAAAGGCTGGAGGCAGAGACCCTTCAGTACCCAGATACTAAACCACTTCAGCTAAACAGGAGATTAAACTAGATTTATAATTCCCTATCATGTCTCAGGTTACTCTCTTAGCCTGTTAAGATGGTCTGTTGGTGTAGCGGGGGTGACGGATGATAGGCTATCTATAGATTCTGACTAACATGTGTCTGAGTGGTAGATATAAATTGGATATTTTCAGAGAATATATCTCTTTCCTTGTCACTGTTTTTAAGGTCAGCTGATTTTTTTTTTCCATTGAGGGAAGGATGTCTCTGACTAAAAGCTTGCTAACTGTTTCAGCAAAACACAATATTTGTTTATAGATGCACTTTTTGTTTTTTCTAATGCCTCACTTTACACTCTGCAGGCTGTGTATAACAACACTATATTTAATACTTTTGTCCTCAGCTGTAGTTTACCCATTGCTCACAAGAACAGCATTTTATTTTCATCCTTATTTTTTCAGTATGGAGACAAGATTAAGGTTTGTTTTTAAAAGAAAATGGATAAAAGGCTGCGAGCTTACTCTGTCTTATCACAGGAGTGGATTGACTCCACTTTGACTGAGCAGGCCTGATCGTGGGCCAACATGTGACATATTCCACTTTGCAGCAAACGCATGGGGAGCATAGGTCCTTCAAACCTTCTTAGACCTGTCTTTGTTACACAGCTCCAGAGGAGAACCTTTATGTCTAGAGATATTACCAGGCTGTCCTTAATCCTAAAATCCTAACGTCTGATGTTTTGTCACCCATGCGACTTTAGTCGGGTGATTTTCATTGTAGAGCCTTTTTTGTCATTTAATCACATGTAGTATGTTCTTTTCTTGGTTCCTGTGTTGTTGGTTTTTTTTTTTTTTTTTGCTTCCTGCACAAAAGCAAGCTGCAAACACAGCTTATTGCTGCAGACAAGCTAATCGGTAGGACTGGCAGAGGTAATTTAGCAAGAAGTTAATTACCACGCGGAGGTAGTTTTTGACTGGTGAACTCTTAATGCAATTCACAAATTTCATTATTCCTCTTCTATTATTATTTATTTTCTAAAATTTATATTCACAGAACCCTCATCCCTCTTATGTATGTGATCCAAAAGCCCATGCTTCACAGCACAGCTTCTTTCAGGGTTTTTACTTAAGGGGGAAAGAAGCGAAATAATTTTCTGTTATACTTCACTGTCTTTATCAACCCTGCTTTATAAAGTCTTTATTGTTCTTTGGCTCCTTAATGCGCTTCTCTGTAATCACATAATCGCCTGAGAGGTCAGATAATAAAGGAAAATACTTGTCTGTCGCAGTAGCCTGTACTCAGACAGCCAAACACATGACTACATCTGCACACATGTTTTTATAGTCTCTCCATGGTCTGCTGCTCTAAATTATGAGCATGATGACGCTAAAACGAACAGGCCATGCTTTCTCTTAATACGCCAGGTATTTGAGGTGTGTATCAACCCAAACAGAGAGGTGAAATAGTTATCAGTATAACCCAGTCTGTTCCTAACCTCTTGTTGTACTGTACTTTGGTTGGCAGAAAGAATATGAGAACAAAAACAAACTGTTTTAACCCCTGTCTGTTGGTTGGTGATGTACTCCAGCATCTTATCAGACATGGAGGGTTGTGATGCATGTAACATGCTATCAAAGTGCTTTGTTTACACTCAGCTGGAAAGCTGCCAGTTACAGCCAGTCCCGTGTTCAGGTTGGTCTGGCAAGCAACAGGCTGTGAAGCACCGTGACACTTCAGTGACTGCTAACAGGGATACCATAAGCATTGTAGTCTGTGTGCCTTTAAGCCATGCTGGGTCTCATTGCAGAAGGAAAAGAAGATCTTTAGAATAAGCCAATCGTTTTGGTTTCACCTCAGTCTTGTAGTATTATGTAACACTCTTGTGCAATAACTTCACATTTCTCTTTTAGAAAAAAGAATGAGGAAATGAGAGGGAGTGCACCAATATTTCACCATTAACTTATACAGCGCTTTATAACTCGCATGCTCAATCATGGCTAGCAGCCAGATGCTGTCTAGCAGATGTCCCTGAAGCTGAATACTGTATCCACCAGCTGATGAATATCAGTGTGCGTCCAAGACTAGGAGGCTAGCAGATGTTTGGAGAGTTATTTGTTTGCAAAACCAAGAGTGCTGGTAAAGGTTACAGGGGGCCTAAAACTGGATTAGTTATGATTTTTCTCATGAGTTCGGCACCCAGTGGGAACTGTCACAGATGCACATTGTTGACACAAATGCTTGTATAGGATAGGTGAGACTACAGCAGGGGTTTTGTAGGCAAATGTAGAAGGACACAGTTTCTTTATGTAGATAGTGTGAAACTTTCAGGGTTTGTTTGGCCTTGGTTTCTGCACAGACTATTAAAGCATGCTAGTGTCTTCCCATTTTTTGAGCAGAATGACTCACAGGAAGAAAGAAGTGAGCGTTTTAACATGGTAAAATTTGGAGTTTAACTGTAATTTGGTGCTTTCCCACTAGTGTAGCCTGTATTACGTTTTCTATTCACTCTTAAAAGTGGGGAAATACACTCCTTTGTTTCTCCCCTTTCACTAGCGGTGCTTATCTGAGAGCCTCTTGTCTGTGCCAGATGGTAATCTTTGTGAAATGTAGAAGTAATTTAATTGAGTGCTGGTACACGAAGACAACACTTGAAACCTGGGTTGAAGCATATTTATGGTAGTCATCATTAACAGAAAAGTGTTAAGACTCAAGGTTGATCTGGTGACCCCCTCTCAGCCTCGAGTCTGTCAGATCCTGTACTAATCCAAAGCAACCTGACATTCAACCACCCAGAAATTGCACTATGCATTGCTGTGTAATGACCTGCTATTGTATCTGACTGCCTTATAGTGCTGACACCACAGCCCGTGATCTGCCAGAGTAGCATCTGCTGTTTCCTCTGCATTTCCCAGCTTTGCCAGTCGTTTTACAGTATATAACAGTCAGTCCTTCTCTCATTTCTATGTTGCAATAATTTCAGTTAAAGTAAGTCTTGAGTAACATTGGTATTAGCTGTTTAACTGTATTAATAATATTTGAAGCACACGGAAAGCTGAAAACGGTGTCATAATCAAGTAGTGGTTTTAGAGATGTAATTACAGACCAATACAGAGGTGTTAACTGTTAAATAAACTGTTGGATACACTGCTGTTTATATATATTTATTTATTCATTTATTTATCTATCTCATCAAATTATCACGGTAGAAGGACTGATCAGGTTGGGTTTGTGCATTTTTCTGTGGGGAGGCAAGCACGTCCACTGGAGTTTTTTCCTGCCAGAAACTGAAAGGTGCCCACGACTTGGTTATCAAGAGTGGAGTTTCTAGCATTCCTTAGTGGGTGACTGGAGCACTCTTCACCCACAGTGTTGTTAATTCTGGCATAAGCCAAGTCATGGGGCTGGATTGCTTTGCCACTGTTATGGGTTTTGTGGGTTCAGTTGTTTTCCCTGCGCAGTCTTTCATTTTACTTTCTCTTTATTTTCTCCTTGTATGTACTGGTTTATCTCCTCCTTGTATACTGGCTATTTCTTTCATGTGCTGAACCCATGTCTGTTCTTGTGCCACATATTTCTGAGTAGGAGAAAAAGTTTGTGAAAG